CACTGAGGGAAGGCTCCCTGGGTAGGTATCCAGGGGCAATCAGCATCCTCACCTGCAGTGCACTGAGCAAAGGATCTGCCCCTCATGCCCAAGCCCAAGGAGAACAGGTTGTATGCCTCCACCTTTCCTCCCCTTCCAACACCAGCATCTGGACCACATCTGTTCACACAGCTGCAAAGATTTGCTGCTGTGGCTGCAGGTCATTGCCCAGCACAGCTGGAGTCCCTGTCTCTGACCTGGCTTCCTCTGCTAATGGCTTCACCTGTGTCATTTTGTCCTCTGGGGTTTTTAGGGCTTGCTCTATCCCTGTGCGTCCAGGGTTGTGCCCACCAGCACAGTACATCGGTGACATGGTGCAGCTAGATGAGTCTTCCCTCCTCTCACAGCGTACAGCTCCGCTCCCCCCCTGCCCTGCCAGCTGGAAAGTCAGCCTCCACTGACTTTCTTCATAAAGGTCCATGGAGGCAAAACTGTATTCACAAACACATAATTACCAAGCTGGGTATTTTCTCCTCTTAATTAGCAATGCCGTGGTGCTTTAATTGCTCGATTAAAGTTGCCCACAAGGAAGGTTTAAGGTACATTAAATTTGATGATTGGTTCATCAGCATGAATCTCACCAACTGGAAAAAATTATCTGGCTTCCAGATCGCTAACTGGACTCTCCAGATCCGTTTCCACCAGCCATGTGCCACAGAAGAGACAAGAGAGCCCAGCAGCAGAGGGGTTTGTCCCTGAGGAATCGGCAGATCTCCTATTCCCACCTCTCCTTCAGTCTGGGAGCCGGAGGGGAAAGGGTCCCAGCAGTGACAGTCTCCCTCTCTTCTTGTCTAGAGGACACAGGCCATTTCTTCAGCTCAAGCAGAGCTGGGTGAAGTCTACCCCAGGGCCAAATCCTCATTCAGCCACACATGCTGGTCCCCTGCTTGGAAGCTGTGCTCACTCAGCCCTGGCAGGCTACAAACACCCTCCTCAGTTGCAAGCGGGCTGATGGAACAGCAATCACCTACCTGTTGCTCCCTCATCACTGTTTGCCAGCCAAAGGCAGCATCCAAGCTGAAGCCCCAGAGCACAGCAAAGAGAAAGCAGCCAGAGCCATCAGGATACTTGGAGGCTAAGATGCCTCCTCCCAAACTCCTGAAACCCATGGATATACTGCAAAGACACTCTCTGGGAATGGCATTTCTGCCAAAGGCTGAACCACCCACTCTGACAGCAAGGAAGAGAGTCTGTCCCTCTTGTATGACCCTTTCTCATTTGTTCACTGCAGAAAATGCTTCCTGGGAGAGTCTGCACTCCCGGAGGTCTCCATGGCTGTTTGCTGGCTGGGTTGGTTTGTGTAAGCTCCCAGAGAGTAGCACTGTGATGTGTAGCCATTGCACAGCTCCTGATGCTCCAAACCAACTCTCTGTGTCTCTACGACTCATGATCAGCTAAACAGGTTTTAACCAAACTTCCCCGTTTTGCTCAGTGATAGCTGGTGACAGATGCAGCCCATGGGATGATTCAGATCTGCCCCAAAAGGCAGACCCTGATGCAAGGATCATGGACTCAAAGGGCATCCCTCCCCAAAGAGGGTCTGGTCAGGGCTGGTAGGAGGGGTGTGGGTGCAGAGATCCTGTCCTCACCTGCTGGACCCTCTCTATCCACCTCTTCATCCAACCCCAGGATGTGGTACGCTTGCCCTGGGTCTCATCCTCATGGCTCCTTGAGGAGGTGGCTTATGGGTTTCTTCTATTCTCACAGAAGCAGAACCAGGGTTAAAGTGCTTCCCTCTCTCATTACTTTAATTGCACTGACCTTACTGAAATGGGAATCTGTTTGTCCTGTACAGCAGCTGCATATAAATAAGGTGAATTATGCTGATTGTCTTCTTATCTGATAAAATGCGAGGACAGATCCCTTTCACTTATGTTATTGCTTATTCTGCTATTTAGGCAGAGCAGTTGCTATTTGCTGTGGTTAAGAGATACTAATGTGTCTTCCTGTGGAGTGATGCGTTTCAAGGAGGAAAGAGCAGCCCATCTGGGACTGGCTGTGGATGAAGGGGGTGAGGGAAGCAAAGTCCTTCAGGCTCTTGACTGAGGCGGGGAAAAGTGAGTGGGGCAGCAGGGCTGAGCTGCCCTGGAAGAGAGACCCTGAGGGGTTTCATTCTTGGGGTGACTGTGGCAGAAGATTCCATGGGACTAGAAACTGGGAACTGTAGGAGTTGGCAGACCCCATCAGCAGTTGTGGTTATTCATGTGCAAATCTAGTGCAGTGGAAAGGCGGGTCCTGTGCATCTGTAAATCTGTGGTTTAAGTTACCAGCTGGGTTTAACCCACAACAATAAGCAGATGCATGAGGCACAGACATGGGGGACAAATGTCTTGTGTGATGCGGAGCTGTTACACATCTGAAGCCAGGCAAGCTGGAAGCCTTAGTGTGGTCCTGACTCTGATGCCTGTGGGCTGAGGTATACCCTCCCCATTCCCGTGGAAACTGCCCCTCACATCCTTCTGGCAAACACCAGGACATCACAATAAAACGAAACGTGTGGTTCCTGCTGGGGTAAGTGCAAAGAGTCAGAGATCCCAGCAACCACCCTCCTACCCAACCTTTGCTTGGGCATCATTGGCTGACAGTAAACGGGATGAGAGGCAGAGAAGTTCTCCAAGTTCCTCCTCATCCTCCACTATGTCCCACCTCACCCCATCCTTCCCAGCTCTGTGGCAGAGACTTCCTTCTCCTCTGAAAGGCTGGTAACAGCTTAGGACATGATCTGGTTTCCTGAGCTGTCTTCCTTCACTCTGGCAGGTCCTTAGAAAAATGAGCGTTGACGAGGAGGGGGAGAAACCTCCACTGTTCAAACATCTTTAGCTTTGACAAATAAGGCGTCTGGCTGTGAAAGGTGGAAGGAAATTAATTTGGAATCACATTTTAAGCACTGCCATAGAGGCAAAGTATCTTATCTCTAATTTCTTTTCCCCCAAGCAAAAAATGAATTTCCCTGATATTTATAGAAAGATTATTAGGGCCAAAAGGAGTGATTTATATCACCTCATCCCTGTGATGGAGAATGAAAATTTGCTGGGGCAACAGCCACTGGAATCCTGCTTTTGTCCACCTGACAATTAAAACGGCTAATTTCCAGCTCCGACAGATCCACTGGGGTTATAAATCACCCCGGAAAGGCACTTTTCACCATGAAAAATGAACTTTGCCCCAGTCAAGCATGAGAAGCTTAAAGATTTGCATCTGTTTTGCTTTTGTGTGTAAATACATGTACTCCTGCTCCACACCCACCACCAAAGGAGATGCCAGGGAGGAGGTGTTGAGCTATCCAACTCACTGTGCTGGATGAATGGGAAAGTAGGAATGTGAGATGACTCCGAGGTCAGAGCAAGTCCAGTGTCTTGTTTCTGATGCCACAAGCCCTGGAGATTTTCACCAGAGAGCTGTTTGAGCAGCTTGGGCTGACACTGGCACAGGGTACTCAGAGAAGCTGTGGCTGCCCCATCCCTTGCAGTGGTCCAGGCCCCGTTGG